GCTGTTTTCTAGGAGGTTGTTTATACCTGAGCAATTATTTCTTCTAAGGAGAGCCTGAATTTTGAGCCTTCAGACTCATTCCAAGAGGTTGGACTGAAGGAAATGAGCAAGCATCTACGGAAAAAGTGTTCTTAAACTTGGGAACAGTGCACATCCTGACAGTGGGAATTAATCAAAGCTTGTTTACAAGAGCTATTTTTAGCATAAAAGGTTATCATAAACACTGCAATAAGCATTTGCCATTACAGTTCAAAGTTTCTTGAACAAATTCTACCTTGGTGGTTAGAAAGTTTTTTCAAAATTGAGCTGATTAAAAAATATTTATCAAAATTTGAAGACGACTGCAACATGGACTGAAAAATACTGTATCAAAATTTGATACAGACCAAGAAAAAACTGCCTTGGGGCAATATGAACAGTGGATGACCCATCAAGCTGGGACATGGGACAGGGCTGCTCTGTTCCTGGTTCTGCTGCAGCTCTGACAGTTAACCCAGGAAGGTTGCTGCACTTTTCTGTGGCGCTCTGATGTGCTTCAAGATCTCTTGACCACAGCTAGACAGTGATTCTCCCTCCTTTGTAGGCTTCCCAGTGCTACATGAGCATAATCTTGGCTGGCATCCATTAATGTAACTATAACATGAACAATAATATTACGGTACTTCATTCTGCTGAATGTGCTACTAATTTATAGGCAAACTGGCATATTTGCAGCCCAGTCTCCCTGCTATACTGTCATGGTGCCTGAACTGAGATACTCCCATTAGTAGAAATGAAAAAAGTTGCAGGAGAAAATAAGAAATGCATCCTTATTTCAAAATTTAGTTAGCAGCTATTTTGAAAAGCAGTGCTGGAGACAAAACCTCTACCTAAAAATCAGGGTAAACGGAGTCTGTGGTAACATTTCTTTAAGACGTGGAAAATTCTGGCAAGTCTACATGGGGTGCTGCTACCTGGATAAAGTGACCTCAGACCTACTAGAAACCAGGTTCAGCCCCCACCTCCTCATGCAAACCACCTATTTTCATTTGGTCCCAGCTTTCTCAAATGTTTTCCATCTGAAGCCAAAATTTCTTATGCTAAAGTGAAAGACAGTAGGGATTTCTGGGAGCAGCTTGCAGTAGCAATGGCTTTGTTTTTCTTCTGCAAAATAGATTCTTTCTAAAGGAAACTGTTTTTTTTTTTTTCTAGCAGCAATAACTGAATCGCTTCTGGTGTATCGGTCTCCTGATGTGTGTATATCCTCTGTGTGTTAGTAGCTAGTGATTTTCACAGGAGAAAGGGAGCAAGCTGTAATGCTGTAACTGCAGCCATATGAGGGATTGTTATTTATTATTTATATTACTCTAATTATGCTAAGTTACCTGATACAGGGCATACTAGGGCCACCGCAGCAATGCCCAGCATATTTCTTTGCTGCGGACTAAGGATCTTCAGGTAGCTAATATGCTTCAGGGGCTTAGCACAGATGACACCTCCTGGGACTGTGTGTTTGCAACCACCATAAAGAACCTGGCCACAGCAGCACCTTTGGGGCAGCCCCCAATGCCTGGCCTTCCCTGGGCAGGCTGCCAGAGATGCCCGTAGGGGACAGGCAAGGAAGAGATGGTGGCAGCTACACGGTGGCCTCTGGAGGTACTTGTCACCTGCCTGATGGTGTCCACGGTTTCCTCACTCTGTCTCTGAAACGTGAGCATGCCCCATTAAGAGCTACAAGAAACCTGCATCTGCCAGCTCCCCTTGCCTGCTGCAGCTGGGGCTGCTAAGGGGGAAGGCAGGGGTGCGGTGGGGTTTACGGAGTTATCAGGGAAGCTGGTGGGTGTCTGCAAAACACCTCGGCTGTGTTTTTGGGTTATGTGGGAGGGGGTGCACAGCAGCACAAACCCTCCTCCCTCCCTCCCCTCCTCCCAGTCCACATCACAGGTGCCTCCAGCTGGTTGAAGGTAATTTTAATTAAATAGTTGAACTCTGATCCAACAAAACCCTGTAACCACGTGCTTTAATGCTGACTGTAAGTGCTGTGCTTAGCTAGGACTTCAAGGGTTTGAACCTGCAGCCCTCATTTCAGTGATCTTATGTCCACTGTGTGTGTCTGTAGAAGTAATATAATTTATATACATGGAAAAGCAAACTTAATCATCTGATAATACAAGTAAAGTGTTTGTCTTTCACTGTTGGAGGCATTTAAGAATACAAATGCTTTGAATAGCCTTCCTGCCTTTGAATGGTCATGTTTTGTTAATGCAAACTTAATGAGCTGGGAAAAAAAATGGAAAGGAGGGTCTGGGGTTAGAGCTGAAAAGTCATTTTTTTTCTCTGAACCCACACTTGGCTGATTGTCTTGGGCTATAGCCATGATCCCTGCTGAATAAACCATTTGTTTGCTTCCGGAAAAGTAAAAAAAGACCCTTGACATTCTTTACACGGCAGAAACAAGCTTGGGAGCAGATGGTCACTTACCTTCCCTCCTCTCCCCCCCCTTCCCTAAATGTCATTATGGTCAAAGTGCATACTATTCAAATATATTATTGTGTATTTTCTGTATCTTAAATGCTAGCCCTGATGTAATTTCCTGAAGTCAGTTGCTTTGTGCTGAGGAGGAACTGGCCCCTGCCTGTGTAGTTGGAGTTGCAGTGCAGGGACACAAAATGATAAATCCACAGCCTGCGCTGGCCATCACCAAAGAGCATCTTGTCTTCCCTGCTTACCAAAGGATGGCGCTGGGAAGCAAAGGGTGATAAACCGCGTGCTCCCAGCGGCTCTGGGCCTGAGCCTGTTCCCTTGTTTGCACGATGGGTAATGGGCTGCTGCCAAGGAAGGAGCGGCAAAGAGCAGGAGGAGGATGCAGAAGCAGCAGCCAGCATCATTTTTGTCACCACTCATTTGTTCCAAACAGCAGCTTGGTGGGATCTGCATTGCAAATGCTCATCCCTTTGCCTTTGCTCACTGTCTATCCCAAGGCATTAGCATATGCAGTTGCAGGAGGTATATAGATGGAACTTGGCCTTTAATCGTAACTTATTAATACTTCAAAGTAAAACCTGCGTTAGTTTGGCTCAGCCTCTTCCCTATCCAAAAAATACCAAACCAAACCATTTCTAATAGTGTTTTAGAAAGCAATATCCCGTTCCTGCTTCTAGACTGCTTCCAAAATTAGTATTTTGACAAGAAGCATGAAAAAAAATCAAGAACGTGCTGTTTCAGAGAGGAAAAGAACAAAACTTAAATACTTTTCTCAAGTGCTAACAGTATGTGTACTAAAGAACAAAAACTGTATGCTTGAAATTGCAACATTAAATGAACAAAGAAGAGCAACTTCTCCAAGAAACTCGTTTAAGATTCCCACTGTTCTTGCGAATAAGGCTGATGCAATTACAGCTGGAGCCTCTGCCCAACAAAATCAGCGGTGGGTGCAGCCTGGAGCGCTCCTGTGCCACCAGGGAGGGCACAGCGAGCAGCATCCCTCAGATCATCCTTGCTGCCTCGGGCTATGGAGCACCTTTGATCTAGATGGGACTTACCTGTGGCCTTGTATCTTCAGCAGTGTATGGTTAGAGTTGATTATTCTTTACTCTGGGACAATAAGGGTTTTTTTTGTTGGTTTGTTTTCTCCCTCCTCACCAAATTCAGAGCCTTACCACTACGCACATTTGCAATGACTGATCGCAAATGTGCAGGCTTACTGACAAAACTGTAAAGATAAGCTCACCACAGCATGTCTGAGGTACACAGACCAGATGCGATATCTGTAAATAGTTCTGTAGAAAAATAATCCCAGAAGTTTTGTGTAAAACATGTCAAAAAATTAATGCGCTAGCTCCTACACAGCAATTTTTCAATACTAGTCATCTACAAATAATCTCCAGCAGGCTGCTTATTCATGAAGGTGAAACATGCTTAAAAATGTAGAAGGGAAGGCAAGAGTGGCCACTTGGGTGATTGGCGTTAGGAGGAGCAGCGTCTCC